TTTTTTTTTTTTTTTTTTTTTTTTGAGACAGGATCTTGCTATGTAATCCAGGCTAGCCCTGAACTCATAGCAAACTTCCCGCCTCAGCCTCCTGGGTGCTGGGTGTGTACCACTGCCTGGCAAGAATTTTAACTAGCAAAACTTTCTGTTCCTCTTAGGAACCAAGTCTTTCTTGGGGTCTGTGTGTTAGGAGTTGAGCCCGGGCCCTTTACGTACTCTATCACAGAGCGACAGCCCAGCCCCAGAGTCCACTTTTATCATGGTCTGAGGCCGAAAAATAAATGATAAGACCCAATGCATTCTCATTTAGAAGGCGGCGAGGTTCACCTCAGCATGGAGCTCTTGTCAGAGAACATTTTATTGTTCTCAAACTGGGATCCATTGTTTCTCCTGCTCTGTCCTTGTTCACCGCACTTCACGTTTGTTTACCCAACTCCAAACCTCCTTTCCTTTTTCCCTTGTCCTCTTTCTCTTTCCCTCTCCCGCCTTCCCTTCCTTCCTTCTGTTGTGGCACCGGGGACTGAACCTAGGGCCTGCACACTGATGAGCAACAGCCCCAAGCCCTTTCCTGTATTTTTACTTTGAGACACAGTCTCCTGCCGTTGCTAGGCTGCCCTGCCTGGCCTTGCACTTGCGACCGTCCTGCCTCAGCTTCCTGAGTGCTGGGCTACAGGTGTGCACCGCCTCAACTGGGTCCAGGTCTCCTGTTTTCAGTTTCTGTGGCTACCACCTCCCCGTGGTCACATCAACACCTCTGACCAGTTCTTCTAGTGCAGCCCTCGTGCCACTCCCTAGTAAAATTTGTTTTGTTTTTCTCTTCTTTCTGATTGGGAGAATCAAATTCCCCCCTAATAGTCTGAAATAATATATTTAAAATGTGGCTCCTTCAACAAGGGTAAGAGCAACCACTTTACGAAAAAAGCTATGAATTTATGATATTAAAATTATGAAAATATTAAAAAGCGAGAATGATAAAACCAAAACAGGAAAACACAAACGATAAAGTTATGTACAAACAGAAAAGCACTGGCTACAGGCGGGGTTATCATAAAAACAAGCTGAGTGTGAATCCGTTTCCCACGCGCGGCAGGCTGGACGGGTCAGCTGTGGCCTGGCAGCCACTTACACAGTGAGATCCATTTCGTGGGTGCCCTTGCACTTGGTGAGGCTTCTTGTCTTCCGGCAGATGCACAGGGCCCCTGCTATAACAGAGCAAGGAGCTGCTGTCACTGGGCAGAGGGGGGACTATGGGAGGCTGCTCTGTAAAGTCATAGGACCGAGGAAGTGGAGGACGAGGTGGGGCTACTTCCTCTTCCTAAAGATTGTAGAACAGTCACCTTATTTAGATAAGCACATTGAATTAAGCATGTCGCAATTCTTTGCAATGGTACATCAACGTGCACTCACTTTAAAGTACCTAAAGGGACACTGCCAAGCCGAAAAGCTCACGTTTTTGAGCACAGCCGGCAATTCGGTTTGCCGTCGGCTGTGTGCGTTTTCCCTATAAACGTAGGCCAGCTTTACTCTGAAGCTGACTCTGCAAGAGGTCACTGTGGCAAACTACTGTATTTGGATTTAAAAAGAGAAGAATTAGTTTTGTTTTTTTTTTTTTCGGTACATGGGGATCGAACTTGGGTCCTTGCGCTTGCAAGGCAGGCGGCAGAACCGCTGAGCTAAATCCCCAGCCCAGAAGAATTAGTTTTTAAAAGTCTTATTTTCAGCCATTTTTTGATGCATAGAAACAGAACTATTAATTTCAATTTATATTTTTGAAAGTAACCATGACAAAAAGAAGAACCAATTTTTGTCTTTCTAAAACGTATTGTAAGGCTTTTGCAGTTCTTTTTTTTCCTGCAATTTTAAGAGAAGGAAAAAAGAAACATTTTCTTGGGCTTTTTTACAAAGTTCCAGACCACAGGTTCTTTCAACTAGGTTGACAGTATCTCTTTATAGTGGTAATTTCTTTATGCCATGCACAACAAAGAACCAACTTAGCTATCAATCATCCTACAAATTGTACAAAGTAGAAATCATTATGAATATTCAAATTACTTTAAAAAGTATGACGATGTTAAAGTTCTAACAGATGGAAAAGTAGTGTTTCAATTTTTCTTTTGCATTAATGAAAGAAAAACTATGTTATGAGCACCGAGTTATTAATACCAATCAAATTTTAAGATTAAAAAATATTTAAAAAGCATTTTTCATACAAGAACAAAGAAGACTTAATTACTTCAAATTCATGTGTTACGCATTTAAAATAGTTTGTAGCTAGAAAATTGATCCAAACTTACCTCATTTTTGTACTTAACTGTTGGGAAAGGTTTTGCTCCTGCTGCTCCTGTTGGAAAGAATTAGAAACTGTGACTACTTAAGCTATATACCCATCTTTCTAAATCTACAGAAATAATTTCATTTCACTTTTTTTTTTTTTTGAGACAATGTCTCACTAGGTAGATTAAGACTGACCTGGAACTCACTATGTCGCCCAGGCTGGTCTCAAACTAACAGCGATCTGCCTGCCTCAGCCTCCCGAGTGCTGGGATTACAGGTGTGCACCACCACGCCCGGCCTTCATTTCACATAGTTTAAAGGAAGCCTTCAGTTTTCAATTCATTATTAATAATTTCAAAGTTTGAAAACAATTACATTTTAAAAATACACGTTGAAATGTTTAGTTGAAACACAGTGTAAGGGGAAGGGGGTTTCTCAAACATGAAACACACAGGTGTAGGTGACTAACTTTCAGGAGGCCAGCAGGGTGGCTCCATCAGAGTGGAGACTGTGCCCCCATTTCCACGGGAACCCCAGCGGGCCATGGTAGCAGGAAGCACGCGGGGCTGGGAAAGCCAATGGCGGAAGGGTAGTGGGAGAAGGGAACTCCGGGGGACACAGCCCACGCGCTCAGTGCATTTAGTTTTGTACGGGCGCGGTGGCAGAGCTGTTGCTTTACTGTACACCTAATGCTGCAGAATGCCTGTTCTCCCATACCAAAGCTCATTAAACTAGCGAAGGAAACCCTTATGCGCGTCGTTCTGACACGATTCGGACTGCGCGGTTCACTCGCCTGGCTCGGCCATGCCTCGCAGCTGCTTGTGCTTGCTGAGCCCCTCGACCACATCCTGGATGCGCCAGAGCTCCTTCTGCAGCTGCGCACGCTCGATGCCCGCCGACTCGCTCTGTGGGGAAAACGCTCGGGTCAGTACAGGGAGGAGTCCAAACCCAAGTTTTACCAGTTAAGAAAATGTTCCACTAATTATTACTTTAAAGTTGGGTGTGGTGGCACACACCTGTAATCCCAGCACCCGGGAGGGAGGCCGAGGCAGGAGGATCGCTGTGACCTTGATATCAGCCTGGGCTACATAGTGAGTTCCAGGGCAGTCTCAACTACACAGTGAGACTGTCTCAGAACCCCCCCCCCCAGAACAGCAGTGGATTGTTTTAAGAATGCTGAGAAAGCTGGGCGTGGTGGCATAGGCCTGTGATCCCAGTACTCGGGAGGCTGAGGCAGAAGTGTCACCACGGGTTTGAAGCTGGCCTAGGCCGCATAGAGTTTAAGGCCAGCATGAATTACACACCACCCTTTCCAAAATCTTTTTTTGCGGGGAGGGTACTGGAGATCGAACTCAAGTCCTTGCACTTTGGAGGCAGGCAGTGGCACCACTGGGCTAAATCCCTGGCCCTCAAAATCTAGATAGTACATAATCATTGAATTTCAGTACGTATTCTTTGAATTTCAGAAGTGAAAGATAACTGTTTCTAGTATGGCAACAGCTTGTTTGGTTGGGGTGGTCCTGGGGATTGGACGAAAGGCTCGGTACATGCTTTGCCACTGAACTACATAGTCAGCCCTCTAAATTTTATCTTGTTATTATTATTATTTTTTGGGGGGTGGTTTATGACAGGGTCTCACTGTGTAGTCGAGACTGACCTGGAACTCACTGTGTAGTCTAGGCTGGTCTCGAACTCACAGCGATCCTCCTGCCTCAGCCTCCCCAGTGCTGGGATTACAGGTGTGCAGCACCACACCCAGCCCTTCTATATTTTATTCTGATGGTGGTGCATGCTTGTTATCCTAGCACTTGGGAGGCTGAGGCAGGTCTTCATGAGTTCAAGGCCTACCTCGGCTACATAATAAAACCTCAGCTCAAAGAAAAAAAACTGTTTTGAGACAGGTTCTGGTGAAGTTGCTATGGCCGGTCTCATACTTGTCATACTCCTGCCTCGGTCTCTCAAGGAGTGAGACTGCAGGCCTAAATTACCATGCCCAGCTTCATCTTCTACCTCCATGCTGTCTTCAGTGAGAAGAAATCTTTAACTATGCACTGGATCTTAGCCAAAAGGCCGAGAAGGGACTGAAATCTTTAACTTTGATAAAGCCACACCCCCACCTTCCTTCCCTTCCGCTTTGTGCACAGTAAGTGCCTGGTCCTGTTTCAGTTCACCTCCCGCCAGCAATTTCCTGTCACCATCTTTAGCACAGTGGCGAGGCCTGTGATACAGCCGCAGTTTAGCTCGGTCCAGCACTAAGACAGGACCAGTACTGCAGCCCTCCGGTCCAGCTGTGCTGTCCAAGGTGTGAGCTGTCCTCTGCCCTGCCCTGTGTGTAACCCTAAGGTTTTGCATTATATTTGCTTGTTACTTTAAAACCATTGACTATGCAAAGTTTACCTGCCTGATTCTAAGTTTCTCAAAAATATCAATATATTTAACCCTAACAATGTAACCCAGGACTATTTTCACTTTATAGTTGGGAAAACAGATTAGGTAGCGGGTCTAAGGTTGCCTGTACAATGCTACCATTCATAGTGCGTGTGCTTTCTAGTTCTTTATTTTTTAAAAATACTCTATCTGGGGTCTTTAATGTACTTTTCAGATACCAGAGCCATTCAAAAACGTGTCCTTAGAAGATTCTGTAGAAATCTGTGGGACGGAATGACGTCAGTGAGAAGAATTTCCACCACGGTAAAGCTAACAGTAACATCTTTCATTTATTTAGGTGTCTGTCCCATATAGTTACTGGGTTTTCATGGCTACATTTTATTAGGTTAAATCAGGCATGTGTCTTTTTGTGGGCCTGTGAGCTCGGAGTGAATTTTACACCTGCTTTGTTTTTTGAGATAGGGTCTTACTACGTGTGTAGTAGTTCAGGTTGGTCCATGAACTTGCTGTGTCGTAGCCACAGCTGGCCTCAAACACACGATTCCTGTGCCTCAGCCTCCGGAGTGTTGGTTATAGGCTGGGACTACTGAGCCTTGAGGAACTGTGCATTTTTAAGGGGCTATACAAAGCTAACACCACCAAATAATACGGCATGTAACCGAGCTGTTTGTTTGCAATGCCTAAAGTACTTCCTGTCTGGCCTTTTAGAGAAAAGTGTGCCTATCTTGTATTTTAGCAGAGATAACTATGATGTTTACTGGTGTATTCAGTATCTGATTTTTTTTTTGAGACAGGGTCTCACAATGTAGCCCAGGCTGGCCTTGAACTCCCTGTGATCCTGCTGCTTTAGCCTCCTGAGTGCTGCAATTACAGGCATTCACTACCACGCCTGGCTTAAAATAACTTTATTTTTATTTTTAAAAATAATTTTTAAAAAAGCATCAGAGCCGGATGTGGTGGCGCACTCCTGTAATCCCAGCACTCAGGAGGCTGAGGCAGGAGGATCTCTTGATCGAGATCAAGATCTTTCAAGACCAGCCTGGGCTACATAGTGAGTTCCAGGTCAGTCTCAACTACATAGTGAGACCCTGTCTCATAAAACCAAAAAAAAAAAAGCATCAAAAAAGTCATCTAACCCAACAACCCATTACCAAGTAACACACGTGGCCGTATGGAAGGCAAACAGCTGAGACAGGCAGGCGGTACAGAACACGCCAGTGCCCAGCAGAATAAAGAGCGTCTCAACCAGAACACCGGGACCTTTGTGCACCACGGCGGGTGTGCAGACCCCATCCGGAGAGCCAGCCACACGCAGGCAACTGCAGCGGGCAGCCCAGGCCTGAGAGGCATCCTCGTACCTGGACCTCGCCGAGGCGCTCCAGCCGCTCCTGCACCTGGGCCCTGACGACCGTCACGTCGTGCTCCAGCTTGTCGCAGCCTCGCCACGCGCGCTCCAGCTCCTGCAAGCACAGTGTCAGTCAGGGGCTGAGGGCTGCACCACGGCTCGGCTCTCATTCTCAGAGCTGCACAGCTGAGACTGTGCAAGACATGTTTATAACTTATGGTCTTTTACGGTCTTTTTCCTTTTCTTTTTTTTTGTACAAGGGATTGAACTTGGGCCCTTGCACTTGCGAGGCAGGCGGTGGAACCTCTGAGCCAAATTCCCCAGCCCCTTTTTCCTTTTCTTCAATAAAAATTTACTGTATAATCTATGTATTTATACTGTGTTGCTATTGTATTCAAATTTCTAAAAACAAAACTTACCTATTATTTTTTGATGTCATCAAATAATCTGAATCACTTCTACTGTACACAGAGCATTATTTTTAGGAAACAGTTTAATTTATTCTTGGCAATACAGTCAATCTTTCCTGAAGGTTAATTTCCTAAAGTGAGGAAGAGAGTCCACGACCATACAACCTAAACACGGCTGATCTCATTTAAGACGGGAAGAGGTACAAACATAATCCTCATTCCCTGAATAAGTTTCCTGCGAACAGGCCTGGTGTGGTGGCACAGGCCTGTAATCCCAGCACTTGGGAGGCTGAGACAGGAGGATTGCTGAGAGGTTGAGGCTGCCTGGGCTACACAGTGAGTTCAAGGGCATTCTGAACTGCACAGTGAGAGCCTGTCTCAAAAAACAAAAACAAAAGCTTCTCATGAATAAAAATAGTACATACTTTGTGTTTTCGTGTATTAGATTTTCAATAACACTAGAAGCTTGAATTAATTTTCTATAGAATAAACTCAATTTGCTTTTTTGGGGGGTGGTGGTACTGGGGATCAAACTCAGGACCTTCCTCTTGCAAGGTAGGTGCAGTGCCACTGAGCTAAATCCTTGGCCCCTCTCAATCTGCTTTTTAATGTAATAAAAGCAAATTAGTTTTGTTAACTATATGAACCCTTCACTGAATCCTACTCATAGATTCAACAAAAGACTATGTACCTGTGACCTGCTCTTCTGGACAAACAAATCACATGCAAACCACGAAGTCACAGAGAAGTTCTGATGCTCAGCCTGTAACATGCAGGCACTGTAAAACTCACCGTGGCCTCGCCTGCTTCAGGGATGCCATGCTGTGGGCGTGAGGGGTCTCGGACACTCCAGAGAGCGACAGCAGGGTAGAGAACTGCTAGACTAAGGGCAGGAGCTGTATCACTCGCTATTTTATCATCACAATTTAGCATGGCGTTGGCAAGTGTAAAATCACCGATGAACGCCTGTAAGTGACATAGGAACTGTGCTCTCAGAACCTGGCTAAGCCAGGGAATTCTTGCTGGGTGCTGCTCTGAATGAAGCGGTGCTGTGAGGTGACACTCTGACAACAGCAAGGAGTCTGGGGCACTCAGGGCGGGTCACCCTTAGGGTTAGTGCCCCTGTCACACAGGTGCGCGCACACACACTTTTTAATTTATTTTTGGTACAGGGGATTGAACTCAGGACCTTGCGCTTACGAGGCAGGTGGTGGAAACAATGAGCTAAATCCCCGGCCCTCACAGTTTTTTTTAGAAAAGCAGATGTAGAGGTCACGTCCCAGCCATTCTCCGTGCCCCTGCTGAGTGCTCCCTCTGGGGTGGGCACGGCTTAGCTGCCCAGGCTGCTCTTGAATGCGCAGGCCAGGATCCCATGTGCACCCCACCATGCTCCGCCTGCAGGTTCTTTATGGAGTTATTTAATTTGTATTCTGCAACTAGCTTACACCTACTTTAAAAATAAAGAAGTTAGGCGATGAAGAATTATTCAAGGACCACACTTGTAAAAAATTAAAATGAGTTCTAAAACTTGGCCTTTGGAATAATTGCTTTTTGAATTTAAAAGAGTTCCTTAAATAGGTTTTAAAGTGAATTATATTGAATTAAAATAGAAGAACCAAAGAGATAAAGTACTGCAAATTATATTATCTCTACATTATGTGGATAATTTAGGGAGTCTATTATTAAGCAAGTTTTATATGAATTAAATTTTAAAAGGCAAAGTGATAATGGATTAAAGACTTTTATCTCATCTATATTATGTAAATATTAGTCTTTTGGCTTCAGTGAACTTTTTACTTGAATGAATAGGAAAACTGGTCTGCTTTAGTGAAACTTGCTTCTAACCGTCTTCCAATCTGTGTGGATCACAAGGGCTGAACATTTACAGTGGGCTGTGGAGGCTTCGAGAGGGCGAGAGACACCTGCACACAACTACCCAGGGCACTGGGATGCGTGCTTTCCAGAGATACACAGGACAGAGGTTGACAGCGACTCCACCGACATCTCAGGTGCGAAGAGGCACAAGAAGCTTCCTAAGCCCATGGCACCACTTGGCCCAAGGCCCACTCCTGCCTCAACCCCACCTCCAAGGCTCCCAGGTGGACAGTGAGTGACAAGGGTGGCATGGGGAACAGATCGCCAAAGCGTTTCTTGCCAACACCTGGCTATTTTACTCGAGAATTTTTTTTTTCTTGGTACCGGGGATCAAACTCAGGACCTTGAGCTTATGAGGCAGGCGGCAGAAACACTGAGCTAAATCCCCGGCCCTCAAGCCTGTACCCATGTCAAAACCTTTCAAAGAGCAGTCAGGAGCGCCCATGGCAACTGATTCACTGCAAACTGCTCTGTCATAACTGATTCTCAGCGCCACGTACTACTGTGAGAAGGAAGATGAGAAGATCTCCCCAGGAGAGCCTGTTCGTGCTGCTTGCCTGCCATTTGAAGCTCAGGAGCCTAAATTCCACTTGTATCACTGAGGTGTGAAGTCCCTGGTTACTCATGGCCCCCTGGTCTGGAGCCAGTTCAGAACCCCGAGTTCCATGTGAGTCTGTATCACCCACTATTCTCTCTCTCTCCTTCCTCTGCCTCTCTCTCCAGTTTTCTTTTTTCTTTGAGACAGGGTCTCACCATGTGGCCCAGGCTGGCCTCGAACTCATGATGAGCCTCCTGCCTTGGCCTCCCGGGTGCTGCGATTACGAGCATGCACCATCATGCCTGGCTTCAGTTTTCATTTTTAATACAGTGACAGCAGTACCCATGTCAAGAGACTATCACGTCGAGGACGTGTCTGTAATACACAAATGTCATGGAACCCAGGACCCAGTAACAAGTGCTCAAGCGACTTTCACGATAATTACCGTTACTTCCCACACTGCTGCTATTCTGCAGTGTCCACTAAATGCCAAAGCCATCTACCAGAATGACTTAGGGGACTTAGTACTGGTTTTTTCCTGCTTGAAATTCCTTTCCTGAGTTACTAATTTTAGATTTTTCTTTTATAAATTTGAGATTCTTTGAGCAAGAGAATCTAGACTGGATTACAAGTGCCAGCAAGCACTGGTTACGTAACCATGGCGCTGGTGGAGGAGCCGGAGGGTACAATCTGTGAGAATGACAAGCTCTCGGTCAGGCACTCTCTCCCTTACTACCTACACCACGCCACCTCAGCAAGCTGCCCAACTTGCGTAACTCAGGTTCATCTGTGTGGCAGAGGTGATAAAAACAGGGCTAAAATGCAGGCGATCACATTTACTTTGCATAGGATTTCTCTAGACTTTCAAGCCAATGATTTGTGTGAAAAAGACATTAAACACAAATATATTCAGAAGCTCTTATCCGTGGTCAGAAACGCTGAGCTTCTGTTGCGTACAGGAAGGGCACCGTGAGCCAACAGAGCCGGAGAGCACATCCTCCGCCACCTGCAGGCAGGGCCAGCGCGAGCCCCCGGGCCCCGCGGCTTCTCAGCATCCAGCGGCGACCTGGCTGTGAGGGAAAAGCGCTGCAGGGAGAAGGAGCCTGGACAGCCCCGCCCCAAGGGCTACCCCAGTTCCAGGCTGGAGTGGGAAACTTGAAGCTGCTCATTTCCTGAGTCCCTGTGGGGCCCATGCAGCAGTGCAGCCTGTACCGGCTTCTCTTCCCTGCCTGCTCTCCAGGCCCTCATTTCTGCTCTCTGGGATCATCCTCCAAATAAAGTGATTGAAGCCAGTTCCTGATCTCAGGCTCTGCTTTCAGAGGGGAACACAAACTTCAGACATGCTGAAAAGTCGACCTGAAGGTGTAACTGTTATTATAATCCTTCCCTTTAGTCAGGTCTAGAGAAAGACAGTGACGATAAGGAGAGAATGCGAGGGTGCTATGTGCTGAAATGTAAAGGACCTGTGTGACACAGGGTGCACACAGAGGATGTGGAATCAGGAATTAAATAAGACAAACAAGGAGCACTGCTCTCTGTGCTTACTGCCAGGCCGGGTTCGCGGCCTGCAGGCTGAGGAGGAGATGTTCTCAGAACTGAGGCTTTGACCTAGGGAGAAGCTCACGCTACACTTCTACGCCTGAGGCTCGGATCGTGAACCAAAGCCATGAACTGTGCACCGGTCACGGGGCCCCTGAGATTCTGCCAACATAAATGCCATTCGCAGCATTCACCGAGTGCCAACCACATGCCCAGGGACATACCAACATTTGCATCCCTAAGCTACAAATATAAATAAGTTTACACAAAGGCACCACAAGTGTAGTTTGTATCCCATGCAGGAGGACATGTCTTAGAAAAACACATTTGTAGGGTTTGTCATAACTGAGAAACGCCAAAGGCAAGAAAAACCCCCATGAAGGTGTCTGTGTAGGATAACAACTGAAAAAAGGGACATTCAGAGATTAACTTCTTTTTTTTGGTACCGGGGGTTGAACTCAGGTCCTTGTGCTTGTGAGGCAGGTGGCGGCGGAACCACTGAGCTAAATCCCCGGCCCTTAGAGATTAACTTCTATCAGGGCATTTTGCACACAATTCCCATAAGGGTTGGAGTTTACTTTATTTTTAAATTTTATTTTTATTTTTATTTTTTTGAGACAGGGTCTCACTATGTAGTTGACACTGACCTGGAACTCACTCTGTAGCCCAGGCTGGTCTTGAACTCACTGCGATCCTCCTGCCTCAGCCTCCCATGTGCTGCGATTACAGGTGTGTGCCATCATGCCCGGCTGGAGTTTACTTCAGGACCAAGCAAATTCTAAGCCTACTGATGGGATTTAATTTACTAAATTCAGATGGTAAGGGGAGTAATTTTCTAAAACTGAGATTTCAAGAATAGACACTAAACCACTAATCCGCTGTCCGCTGACTGTCAGAAGCCACCATTCTGATTGGGCGCTTGGGACGCTGGGCTTTCAGCAGCTCAGGTGGGCAGCTCGCTCCTCCCCCGGTTCACACACTCCACGTCTGACAGGAGCTCAGGAGGGCCCGCCTGACAGCTCCCGCATCTCTTACACTTGCCTCTGGAGCTGCGTGGAGGTGCCCGCCCTGTGGGGAGCCCTTTGCATCCCCGTTCCTCCCACCGAGAACTTACTCAGCTTGCTGATGCTCCGCCCCTGAGCTACACTCCCAGGGACTACTTTCTTGCAGTTAATGTTCTGCAGACCTGTGCTTCCTTTCTGACTAGATTATAAAAATCCATGTAGGGCTATGTCCTCCTGACTATGATGGTAAGATACAGACCTGAGTTCTAGGCCTCTCGTGTGCTCGCTCTGTAACACTGGGCAAATCATCCCATGTCGTTGGCCAAGTTCCCAATACATATCCCCGTGGTGCTGGACGGCAGAGCGACCCAGATGAGACAGGGATTTTGAGTTGAAGGAGTTCACAAGAAAAAATATTAAATTTTACAAAGTCTGTAAACATCATGGTATAATTAAAAGACTGAAAAAGAGACCATGGGAACAGCAGCATTTTAAAATGAGAATAGAGGCTGGGCATGGTGGTGCATGCCTCTCATCCCAGCCCCAGGGAAGCTAAAATGGGAGGATTTCTGTGAGTTCAAGGCCAGTCTGAACAAGATCCTGTCTCCAAAAAATAAAAGTGGGAATAGAAAAGTAAGTTATTTAAGAATCACCAAACTAGATTTTTTATTGTTGTTGTTGATATTACGAACAGTGTCTCATTATGTAGTTCAGGCTGGCCCTGAATATTCTAAACTGCCCTCAGACCTACAGTGACTCTCCAGTCTCAGCCTCTTGAGAACTGAGGTTACGGTGTGTGCTACCGCACTCAGCTAAACAAAACAAAACTAAAGGTATAATACTTCAGGGCCTGGGGATTTAGCTCAGTGGTGTCATCCCTGCCTTGCAAGCTCAAGGTCCCAAGTTTGATGGCTGGTACCAAAAACAAACAAACAAACAAACCCCCCAAACGAACCCCAAAACAACTTCAGTAGCTAAAACCCAAAACAAAAGCAAAATCCTTCCCAAATCAAAGCAATGAAACCAAAAACAGTGAAATACCCCCAAAACCAAACCAACAAAATATTTGGAATGTTAGTTTGGGGTTCAGAATGGAAGGCAGGAGCACGTTCTGACCCCTTGCCAAGCTCGGCTGACCGTGGCCATTCAGAGTAGGGAGCTGCATCCCTAGTGGCACCAGAAGGTACAGACCCGGAAGGGGCCGTTTTCCGGGTCAGGCCGGGCGGGGCAGGCGGTCTTCCCAGGCTAGAGGACAGCACAGTAGGATCTAAGGCGCACTGCTTCATCTCACTGAAAGCCTGTGGTATCTTTTATTAAAGTGAACTGGCGAGTTGAATGAGTCTAGCTCCTAAAATTAACAAAATAATTACTTTTCGTTTGAGGCAGGGTCTTGCCATGCAGTCCAGGCTGGCCTTGAACTCACGGTGATCCTTCTGCCTCCTAACCCTGAGTGCTGTATTTATTTATTTGTTTGTTTGTTTTTTTGGATACTGGGGGTCGAACTCGGACCCTTGCACTTGTGAGGCAGGCAGCAGAACCACTGAGTCAAATCCCCGGCTCCTGCGGGCTGTATTTAAAGGTATGCGCCACCATGCCCAGCTGCTTACTTCTCTAAATATAATAAACCTGATGTATTTTAAGAAAGCTTCACTGGGCGTCGTGGCGCACGCCTATAGTCTCAGCACTTGGAAGGCTGAGGCAGAAGGATCACTGTAAGTTCCAGGCCAACCTGGGCTACAAAGCGAGTTTGAGCCCAGCCTGAGCTGTGTATCAAGACCCTGTGTCAAAAAAAAGAACAACAAACAAAAATGAATTTTTCATTAGCATAATATATAAAAAGGAGCACTTATTTTCTTGGTAAAATACTCATTTCATAAAAGAACAAAATGACTACTAGTTACAGAATTAAGATCACGTTTTATGTGTCTAAGCATCAGCAGAGTAACACTACAAATACTCCCTAAAGACAGCCCAACTAAACACAGAGTAGCTGTACATACGGCAGTGGCCCGCGAGAGCTCCCGGCAGGTGCTGAGCAGCCCGTTCTGCAGGTCGTCCCGCTGCAGCACCACCGTCTGGATGGCTGCGGGGTCGGCCGTGTGCATCTCGATCTCCTGGCTGGCCGAGAGCAGGGCCTGCTCCAGCGTGTACTGTGACAACAAGAGGGACACTCAGTGTTATGCATCGCGGAAATCATTCTCCCACTGTGGTTATCAGCGCCCCGATAACCACCATACAAAGTGACACCCATTGTCGATAATAAGCATGACTGTCCTACTTTCTCCTTGTGCAGCTGCTGAAGTTTTTCTTCCAGCGCGTGTACCACTTTATCTTGTTCACATAATCGGCTTAATTTGGCCTAGGTTGTAAGGGAAGATGTCATGGTTAGCAATTTTTATTTTGCCTGTAATTGGCTATTTAAAACATTAGCCATTTGAAACAGCCACGGAATAGCTAATTAGGTGATTTTTATTCTAATCAGCAACATCAAATTTAAAATGTAGCTTATATAGAAAAATAATACGCACGCACGCAAAGCAAAAGCATCTCTGCCATACAATTTAACTTACATATTTCAAAATATTCTTAGTTATTAAGCAGTCCATGATTCTAATTCTATCATTTTACCCCCTCCCTCCCAATCTACTGGAGAAACTAAGCTAAGGGATAAACACAGCCCTAGTTTTGTATTTCTTGTTTTTGGAGATGGGCTCCTGCTATGTCACCCAGGCTGACCTCAAACTCACAGTGATCCTCCTGCCTCGGCCTCCCAAGTGCTGGGATGACAGGTGTGCACCACCACGCCTGGCCTGTTCATTTTAATTTGTTTGGTACTGGGGATCGAACTCGGGTCCCTGCACTTGTGAGGCAGGCGCCGGAACTACTGAGCTAAATCCCCAGCCGCAGTGTTCATTTGTTTTTTACAGAGGGGTCTTGCTCCATTTCCTAGGCTGGCCTCACATCTCAACCCTTCTGCCTCAGTCCTCAGCAGCTGGCACCACTCTTAGCTGCACATACAAACGATACTTCAACATAGTAATGCAGATAAAAATAGGGCTTTTGGACAAACATCATTTGCAACATGCTTCTTTCCCCGTAGCGATGGAGACTGGACCCAGGGCTTCACACACGGTAGCTGCATCTTCGCTCTAGTTATTCCAAATTCTTAGCGCTTCCCTTTGTTTTGACACAGGATCTCACCGTACAGCCCAGGTTGGCTTCAACCTGCAGCTCCTGCCTCAGCCTCCCAAATGCTTGGATCAGGCATGTGGCCCTGCACCTGGCGGCCCACTTTTAAAATGAGTGTATGAGGAGAAACTCCTGGCATTTTGACAGCAGAAAAACCCCATTCTGATGCCTCAAAACAAACAACCTGGCCAGGGAGCACGTCCTAAACGTCAGGGCACACTGACAAGCAGGCTAGAAAGGCGGTCCTCCACCCTCCTTGCTGTGCACCTGTTAAAATGGTGACCATAACTCTCGTCAGACACGACTCAAAGCCATGTCGAGTGGGAGGTGACGGAAAGAGGAGAGGCAGGGAAGAGTCTGCTTCAAGCAGGGTTAGAAGAGAAGAGTGCAACAGGGGCCTGACTGAATCTCTAGAAGACACAGTCATTTTTGTTTCCAGACCTCTGTATCTCTCTTTAATCAGTCTTTTTTTTTCTTCCTTTTTTTTTGTACCAGGCTCGAACTTGAGACCTTGCGCTTGCAAGGCAGGTGCGGAGCCACTGAGCTAAATCCCCGGCCCTTTTAATCAGTAAGCCTTTAATTTTCATGCAGGTGCTGTTTAATACACACCACTGTACCACGGGGTGGGTAACCCGAGGGTAATCTCATGCACTAGAGAAAAAAAACCCATTTATTTGTTGTAAATAAAGTTTGGAGGGATGGGAAGAAGCTCTTCGATTGCTGTTTATTTCCAGCGTTTTGGCAGAAAGATTACAGAGCACTGGCAATAAATATTATATTGATACTAAGCCGGGCGTGGTGGTGCACACCTGTAATCCCAGCACTCTAGAGGCTGAGGCAGGAGAATTGCTGTGAGTTTGAGACTAGCCTGGGCTACACAGTGAGTTCCAGGTCAGTCTCAACTACGTAGTGAGACCCTGTCTCAAAAAAACAAAATATTATACTGATACTTACATCGATATCTACGTCTTCAGGTCTGTATTTGTATAATGTACCTCTGCATTCATCTTGTGACAGCTATGGGAAGAAAATGCCATACAGCAACTTTAAAAGTCATATTTTAAAACATTGTCTATACTTTATATTCAATATATAACAATATGACACAATGGGATTTTAAAAAATGATTCTTATACTTTTAGAAGTTTAATTCAAACACAGACCATTACAAAAGTAGAAAAAATACTTAACAGTAGTATAGTAAGCAAGATACATAAGAATGATGCTAACTTAAACTGAAGCTCATCCAACATTAAGCTGACCAAACAAAATACAGCACCTTCCATTTTCCATTTCAAAGACAAACAGGATTTGAATGAAAAACTGACGAATGCAATCATAGCAACTGTATCAAAATCAAGCATAGTTCAACAGTCAAAACTGCCCTCCACGGCATACACAGAATCATACACCGTGTAGTGCACACTCGCGAGCCAGCACACTGCAGCACAACTGCGCTCACGAGACCTGCAACGCTGTACACACAGAAGGCAGAAACACACATACACAGTATAGACTTATCTTGTTCTTCTGTCTTAAGAACTAAAAGACAATGGAGGAAAAGGATGGGTTTAATTGAAAAGGGGAAATCATTTAAAACCTCATGAAACCGAAAGGCTATGTTACAAGCTGTTGATATAGTCAAATTTCCTGAAAAGTTTTTGTGTGTTGGCTGACACCATTCGTATTACTGTATGGTGAGAGGTTATTGTTCAGTGTATTAACACTTTCTCTTCTGAGCTTCCTCCTTCCAAGTACCTTTCAGCCACAGAAACCCTAACTTCTGTTTGTGTACCGAGCTCTCAGGGCTGCTTGGCCAGTTATACCCCTGGGCTCAGCAGCGCCTCTGCAGGCCCTGCAGTGTTTCACTGCCTTTCACCTCTGGATTTTATTCTGGCTGCCAGACAGTAACAAACATAGTGGGAAAAGTTTCACTAGGGCTCTTTGCATGTTAATGAGCAGCACACTCTTAAGGTGGGGATGGGAATAATATACCCCAACTATAACGGAGTTTGAAAAACTGAATTTGATATACATATACATAAATGCCTAAGAATGTAAGTGACAACACAAGTTCCCTCTGTAAAAAACTGCTTGACAGATCTTTTGTTGTTGTTTTGTTTGCTTGGTTCTTTTGAGTTAGGGTCTCACTGTGTAGTTCAGGCTGACCCTGAACTCACTATGTAGCCCAGGCTGGTCTCAAACTCACAGAGATCCCCCTGCCTCAGCCTCCCGAGTGCTGGGATTACAGGCGTGCGCCGCCACGCCCGGCGATAGTGAGATCTTTAAAAGATCTCATAATTTTCACTGCAGATAACTCGGAATGGATCTAGAAACGTGAGGATGAGGAGAAGGTTAAGAATATAGGCATTCCAAACATACAATAAACCCCGGGTTTCCAGGTCCCCTTCCAAGACATGATTTCCACATACCTCATGCAAATGCATCTGTGGTTTTCAGGGTGCACAGTGATTGTTAAATCACAAAACTCAGAGATGAACATTACATGAAAAATGAATTTAATGGCAGAACTCAGAGCACTTATGCAATATTTTAAACATCACCCGAGAATGTCCTGAGAAGTATCGTTATTCTAAATGAAAGCACCCAGATCCAAGAAAATAATTTACATTCTTAACGGAAAAAATGAAAAATAAGTTTTAAAATGTTTAGGCCCATGATTTTAAAAAGACAATATTAAAATTATATTTTTCACATCTACAAGAAATTAAAGAAGGACCTTAAGCTGCTAGGCTGTCAAAATCATCTTTGCTTAATATTTAAAGTTAAATGCAAAACAGCTTTACTAAACTTTGGAATTTGGCAAGTAGTGGGCAGAGTGAAATTACATCCTATTTCCCAGGGTCAACGGATAAATTAGTATGATAAAATGAAACTGTAGTAAATATTCAGGAGAGTGGAATATGATTTTTATTTAGGGGATCATACTGCAGATCTATTTTTATATCAGTTCGCATCTTATTAAAAAGCGTCTCCTTATGGCCATATGAATGTTACATGTCAGTCAGATTTCTCATATGCCTCTCTTTTTAGTACCACTGATATTTTTGTTTAAATCTTCTATCTTCATTCAATAAAGATATCTGTTAGATACCAAATAACGAAATTCTTCAATCACCCTTCTCCTATATATAGTTTATACAAGTTATGAAGGAAAGCATAAGAAAACATGATTTGTCTTCAAAAACTTAACTTTTTTTTTTTTTTTTTTGGTACTGGGGATTGAGCTCGGGTCCTTGAACTTGTGAGGCAGGCAGCGGCAAAAAACTTAACTTTTAAGCATGGCCTATTTTCCTCTCCTGATAATTGATGACACTTTTTTTTTTTTCAAGAAAAGACAGGCATAATTTATTATGAAAAGCAATAATGACAAAATGTAGTTGAGACTGATCTGGAACTCACTATGTAGCCCTGGCTTGTCTTGAACTCACAGCGATCCTCCTGCCTCAGCCTCCCAAGTGCTGGGATTACAGGCGTGCGCCACCATGCCCGGCTAAGGGAAAATATTTTTGAGAAATATCTTTAATTTTAATGAAAAAAGATGCTACCCCCAGTGAGGGCTCAGCAGTGCCTCCAGGATGACGGGCACCTGTGGAGATGTCTGCGTCTTTAGACCAATTACTAATCAGGCCATTAATGTTACTGATATCAATAATGTTCTAAAGACCATGGTACAAAACTTTAAGGGCTGGGATTTGGCTCAATGGTTCCAACACCTGCCTCGCAAGCGCAGGGGCCCAAGTTTGATTCCTGGTACCAACACCCGCCCCCCAAAAAAAACTTTTAACAGGTAATAGGATGATAAATGCAGATAATTTTTTTAAAACTGCATTCAGTTTTAAGTATTTTTAAACCAATTTTAAGAAAACTGCTGCCTAGGGAACCTCTCAGGCATTTTTCTCCAAAAGAAAATGCAAACATAGAGGTCTTCTGTCTCGAGGGAAAAACCAAGCAGCTATGACTTAGAACAAAACAGGACATAAACCATTTTGCCACTGTACTTCCAGTGAAATAGCAGGATCCAGTGAACACAAGGTTGCAATGCAACCTCAGAAAAGCAGACTAACAGTGTACAGTGCAAACTTTCATGAAGATTTTCTTTGATGAGCTGTGGTAAGGGACACCTCAAGGAAAAAAATTTCATTTCAATTTGTACAGATTTATAAACAGACAGGCTGGGGATTTAGCTCAGTGGTTCTGCTGTCTGCCTCGCAAGCGCTAGGACCTGAGTTCGGTCCCCGGTACCAAAAACAAAAACAAAGACAAAACACAACAGATTTCACCCACTATAGTTGCTCCATAATAATTAAGGCTGACTAAAACAAAAGACAGCCGGAAGCCACCATCCATCAGCACAGTTAATGCTGACTTCCGGGAAAATGGCTGCTCCACCTGCCCATGCAAGGCAGCTGACAAGACATTCACTCAGGCCTTCCCCCTTTGTACAATTTTAGCATTTTTCTTTCAAGTGTTAAATGAAGAAATATAGTTAAACAAAACTACTGCTCTTTCAGTATTCAAGGTCAGTGATGCTGCACGACCAGTCTCAGATATTTCCACAATTTTGAGCAAGTCTAATTAGAGCTTTTGGGGAAAGCGAGTAATTTAAATCACAAATGACTTCTGCATCATCAATCTTGAAAATTGATACATATTAAAAAAAAAAAAACCCAAGAAAAAATAAAAGTAAAAACCCAAACCACACAGAAAATCCAGACTATTATTTGTAAAATGTGAAAATGAAAATCCAAACTATTATTATTTGTACAATGTGAAAATGAAAACATTACCTATTACAATGTCCTGGATCGCATGTGAATTTAGCCTTCTATAAAGGATACGTTTTACTGACAGTGCCAATCTCTGAAATGGATCAACTGCAGTGTAAGCGGCACTTTGGAACAGAGTGACAAGGTCTTACCATCTAGTGACTTTAAGAATTGAGGGATTCCATTTTCTTTTGAAAAGTAAAGCTGTTTAACTTTAAATATTTAATATTTTATTTATCTCTATTGCACATTAAAGATGATTTTTAATCATAAAATGTGATTTTTTTTCCTGGTACTGGGGATCGAACTCAGGACCTTGTGCTTTCAAGGCAGGCGGCAGAACCACTGAGCTAAATCCCCAGCTTTAATCATAAAATACTTCAAATATTCTGAAAAAATGGACTCAAAACCAGGAGTCACCTTTGCACCAAATGTATAGACCTTCCAGCTCCCAGGCCCCAAGGCAAGCTCAAAACGCTTTTTTTTTTTTTTTCAAAGTGCTTCTTTTTACTAGGTGCTTTTATAGATTTTTAATCAAAGCCTACATTCATTTTTCATGTTAGTTAATTTTTTTCTTCTATATGGTTTTCAGGTATTTGAACAGGTCATAAGCCAGCGTAATCTGGAGGTGTTCAAGTGGAAGCTGATGTGAAACACACAGCTAGGAACACTGAAACCATGAAATACAGAGAAGCTCGAGAGAAATGTGCATGACTTCTTTTGCAGATCTGCAGATTACCAAAGTTCCTGAATGGAGCCAGCTAACCCCATGACACATACTTTGAGTTAGAGAGAATGGGGCATGGCATGACTACCCTGACGGACTGTGTACGGGTGAGAAGACACAGGGAGAAGACAGCCCCGGTACGTTAAGAAACGGCTACTGTGAGGCTTACCCCATCGAGGACAGAAACTCGATGTAATAACTTTTATACAAATCCAATCTATTCCTAAAACACTGCCGTGGGGAGGTGGGGTGGGGTGTGACCTAAGAAGGAAAGCAATTTTACAAAGCCTTTTCTGTAAAAATCAGCTGTGATGCCTTCAGGATTAATAAAAATATATGGAAATATATACTGCAGACCTCCAAGTACATATCAATCGAATACGCTACATGAAAACTCCAGGAAGATGGCACACTGAATACCGAATGGCAAAATGTTCAGCGAAGCCATGCTAACAATACTGCAGCGTCTCGAAAAGCATGGATGAAGTGTGGGTTCCCAAATAAATATAAACGACAAATAAAAGAAAAAAAAAAAACACTGATGTCATGAGTGAATCTGAGGAGAAACCAAAACTGTCACTGAGGGGTTTTGCAGATGAGAAAGCAGTATCGTTCACTGTCCAAGACCTTACTTGCTGGTACAGTTGTGGTCTTAGCGCCGAGTTCTCAATCATTGTGTGAACCATGGTGATAATAGGTTCATTTTCTTTCATCTATTTCAAATCAGGAGGAGCATACAGCAAACATCAGTTTACAGCATAGCTAGATTTGAAAGACGACACTGTAAATATATCCTCTACTTTAACACCTTCCTAATAGTCCAGCTGTTTATATTTTACCCCACGGTTGTACAGATTTAATTTTTATAAACAAATGCAAACAAATCTTAAATGCTGTAACATGCTTCCAAGACTATATAAAAGGCTCTGGCAACACTGCTGCAGCTAGATCTTACTTTATAACCAATACAGTCAAGTAATGAGTTCTGCTACCTACATTAGACGATAAAGCATCATAATTCGGAAAGCAATCTAAAGGGCGACACAACCTATGAACTTGGAGAATAATGACATCATTCAATGTGATTCAGTACTAGAGCTGAAAAGATAGTTGGCTCTTTATAAGATTAACCAGAAAAATTAGTTCTTTACAGATTTTGAAAATTTTATAATATGCAACATATTGTCATTTCAATAATAGTATTTTATTAAAATGTATACTGATGGACACGTACTGGTTTGGATTTTGAATACCATATACAGAATCATGCAAGGACATATAAACTGAAACTTATTCAGCAAAGACTCAGTACATCTCTTTAGCTCCTAAAAAGCAGGCGGACCCCGTGTTTCACATTTCCAGCTGTGTTACACTTTATTACTGCCTCTGGAAAAGTAGTGCTTATCACAGCAGGCTGTGTCCTTGAAGCATTCCACACACAGCCCATGAGATTAGAGCGATCGCTCAAGAAAACGTTTAGCATTTGTAAGCAGACAGGTCTGGTGTTTGTAACTGTGCTGTGTTTTGTGAGATTTAGGTTTACCTAATTTTCATCTCACATACAATAAGCATTTCCATCATGGTTGTCAAAGGAACCTTACTGTATTAGCTACCTTTAATGGGAAGAGTTCACTAATCTTAACAAATGGCACAATATGAGAAAAACTAAATCGTGAAAATTGTATTTCTTGACAATTTTATTTTCACCTAGTCACTGATGCTGCCGTGCAGTAAAATTTGGCTGGTAAATGACAAAGCTCTGTGATAGGTTTAATTTATAACAAAATGTGTAGCTTTTAACAGTCTCAAGTAACAGCTTTGGTGAGGCTAAATCATTATTTTAAAATCTATGTATATACAACTCCTTTTTAGTATTTTTTAAAAAGTCTAGTTCACTGAAGACTCTATTCAGATTTCAGCTATACATGCCAAGGACTTTCACAAAAATATATATACTTGTAAGCACCATCGCCGGTGAGATGCAGAATCGTCCCTCATGCCTCTCCCCTCTCTCCCAGCTCATCACCAACCGGATTTCTGCAACTGCAGGTTCAGTTTATCCACCGGATTGGCTAACGAACTATGTTTTAAGATATTCGGAACCATACATCAAGTTAAACTAGAAATCCTTCTGCCTCACTCCCTATCATCCAATGAGGAACTGAGGGATTCACATAAATCGGTGATACCACCTTGCAGTACAGAATGAAGCTTCTGCAATGGTGGGAAATAATTACAGAATACATTTTTCTTTAGGAGAAAACATTTTTATTATGAAAATTCAAGGTGTCTATTATAAAGTGTCCTTTGTCTTCTAAGGGAATGCTATTTTATTGTAATGACCTGCTCCGTTTCCGACCTGGGCCGGTTCACCCCTCCTTAGGCAACCTGGTGGTCCCCCGCTCCCGGGAGGTCACCATATTGATGCCGAACTTAGTGCGGACACCCGATCGGCATAGCGCACTGCAGCCCAGAACTCCTGGACTCAAGCGATCCTCCCACCTCAGCCTCCCGAGTAGCTGGGACTACAGGCGCGCGCCACCACGCCCGGCAATTTTATTGTAATGAAATATTGATCTTGGGATAGAGCATAGCTGCTTTTTGTTTTGCTTATTTTATTGCACTGACACACAGATATTACAAAGTTCTAATTCTCTATCCATTTTTCGTATGATTTAAATTATCAAAGTGACTTCTCCTTTAACTGCTATTACCTGATTGAGAAGTTGTGTGTTGTGTGTGTGTGGCAGTGCTGGGAACATGAATGTTTAAGGCATAATGGGTGGGATCAGCGACTTGGCTCAGTAGCACTGCGCCTGCCTCACATGTGCAAGGTCCTGAGTTCGAGCCTCAGTACCAGGAGTGGGGACCAAAAAAAAAAAAAAACAAACCCCAAAAACTGTAACGGAAACTCAATGTTACCCAAATCGAAGGAATCACGGTTAAACTGAGACTGCCAGCTATGCCTTGGGGATCTGGTAAAATGAGCCAGCCAGTCCATCAGCACAGGGTGTTATAGCCCACACAAGTACTTTGTTGGTGAGTATTTTATTTTAGGCACTGGGAATTGAAGTGAGGACCTTGCACTTGCCAGGCAAGTGTGGTGCTGCTGAGCTACATCCCTAGCACAATACTTTCAGAGGGTTGAAATGCATATGCTGTACATAGAAGGACTTCACACGTGATTTCAAAATGCCTGTTTAGCTTATATAACAGAAATCATTACATTCATTAGTCACTGAGACATCTTTGCAAGAAGAAACTGACTGAAGTACAGAAAAATGGAAAGTAGAAGTAACACTTAAACTGTGAAAACTGTAGAATGTCTCAAAGAACGCTGCTGCGGTTGGTTTCTTTTTTCTTTTTTTTTGGTACTGGGGATCGAACTTGGGTCTCTGTGCTTGCAAGGCAGGTGGTGGAACCACTGAGCTAAATCTCCAGCCCAGCTGGTTATTTTTTATTATTAAAAAATTCAAACATATACATGTTGAATTTTCTAATATTAAAGTCAGAAGGCATCTTGAAGCAGACAAATTAGTGCCAAAAAGAAATGAATAATTATTTTGAATTGTGGCACTATAAAAGATTTGTATTTTTCTTTCTATATACATCTCTACATTTCCTAAATTTTCTTTGAGTCACATAGCTTTTCTAATAAAAAAGTTATTAAAGAGTCAAGGATAAAAACATACACATGAAACTGGGGGTGATGGTGCACAATTATAATTCTAGCACTCGAGGAGAGGCAGGGGGTCCCTGTGAGTGAAGGCCAGCCTGGAATACACAGTGAAATCTTGTCTCAAAAAACAAAACAAAACAATAAAAAAACAACAAACCCCAAATCCAAGCTGGGCATGGTAGCACATGCCTGTAATCCTAGCCCCCGGGAAGCTGAGGCAGGAGGATTGCCTCAAGTCTGAGGCCAGCCTGGATCACACAGTGAGACTGTGCCTCATAAATCCAGCCAGCCAGGCAACCAAACAATGACAGTAACAACAAAAATGAAGCCTCAAATCAAAAACAAACAAGCAGCAAACTAAATTAACAATACAGTCATATTCTCTGGCAAATGCCCCCTGGTGACAGAGATTCTATGAAAACTTCATTACAGATTCATGCTTTCATATCATGCTAAAGGCTGAGCTCAGGCAGAAGACACTGACTGCAGACCTCTATTGCAACGAGCTTCCATTTCTAGGGGTCTGATCTACACTGTGTTCTTTACTACCTCTGTTCTGTGTCTACATCAGCATTTTACTGCAAAAAAAATGTTAGCTAATTTTTAAAAAGTATACTTTCTTTAAAAAGTATACTTATCAATGCATTTGTAAATACAAATGACTCTCTTGTAATAACTCTTTCCTTTCTCATTATTGGTTGCTTCTGAAATAAAGTTCAAGTTTATTTAGACCAATGGTCCTTAACCCACCCTTGGGGAGATTCAAAAGACTACAGGCATTCTGATTCCCAGAAAATTCTAATGTGTGCAACGTGGGAACCTCTGATGTAGACATTAACCATTAAATTATCAACAATGATCTCAAGATTCCTTTGGTAGAAATAACTAGGAAGGTCTTAAGAGTTGGATGATTGTAATCTGGTAACAGTGCATATTCTTCAGCTCCCACAGGGAACCTATTTTACCTACACTGGAGATGAGCTAAAGCTCTCTATGGAAAGGTGAAAGCAGGGAAGTCATTTCAGAATTCCCTCAGGGTCCACACTGATGTCATGGGACCTCAGGATGACCAGGGAGTGTGTTGTAAGAGGATCAGACAGAAAGGGCCTTAAATCCTTGTGGATGGGACTCAACAAAGACAGCCAACAAAACTTATTAATGAGATCCCACAACACAGAGATTCTGCTATCCTGTTAAATACTTGTAATTATCTGAATGGAACCTTCATTCTTGCCAGCTTTACCGATTTAGAAACACTAGATCTGCTTTATTTCCAAATGTATCCTAGAAAGACTAGTGGTTCTTCTTTACTTATTGACCTCTGAAACATTCTATAAGCATTTTAATTATGTAGAAAGTGACCTGTTCCTGTAGTACATTCTATCTGGCCTTTGCCTTATGAACTTTTATCATACCCTTTGAATTAATGGAGTAAAGTATGACCTAAAGGAAAAATAAAACAAAACACAGTGCTCCACGAATAACTTGGGATTTTTTTTTCCTCAAAAAGGAATACCCAGTAATTCTCTTCTGGTTTAAAAACAAAAATCATAGAAACCATTACAATAGTGCTATTAATAGTTTAGATAATTTTGTTTTAAGGAATCAGAGTCAGACAAAAACTAATTAGTACATGAACTATATTTAATAATTTACTTGATTTTTTTTTTGGTACTGGGGATTGAACTTGGGTCCTTGCGCTTGCAAGTCAGGCGGTGGAACCACTGAGCTAAATCCCCCGCCCAATAATTTACTTGCAAATGAATTCAATGATTGGCTTCTTGCTTAAATCCTTAACATAGCAGATAATATAGGTTTGGATTTCAGTTAATTGCTAAATTATAAAGTTACTATAAAAGGCTCATTATTTCATAATAATAAAAATGAGACTATATAATTCAGCCATTGCACAATTTTCATAATTAACTTCAGAAATAAATAAAAAATAAATGTGGAGTACTTTGGAAGTATATTTAGGTAACATCAACGTATTTGCTAAAAACAAAAACATATTACTCAAAATTTCTAAGTCCA